GCAGGTCAGACATAGAAGTACAAATTAGCTTATTTCTTTGCTGTGAAACATGTTTCCTTGTTGGGAACGTAAGAATCCCAAAATGTCTTGCTGAAGAATTTCTGTTTTCCAACTGAATACAGGAGGAGAAATTCCAGACACGGGATCATTCACACAGTCGTCATATTTCTTAACACCGATCACTGAGTGAAAAGGAAACATATTTCCCTTGTCTGTTATTCTTAGCCTCTGCTTGCTGTAGGCCAGGAGTCTCCAACCTTTTTAAGCACGAGATCACTTTTTTAATTCAAGTGCAATCCAAGATCTACCTCAAATATAAATACCCTTTCCCCGCCTCCCTCCCGGCCCTTCGCCTAGGCCCCACCCCTGCTCACTCCATTCTCAGGCAGAGGTTCAGGGTAAGGTTCTGGAAGGGAGTTTGGGTCTAGAAGGGCTCAGGTCTAGGGCAGAGGCTTCGGGTGCAGGAGGGGGTACATGACTGGGACAGGGATTCAGGATGCAGCCTCCAGCTGGACACTGTTTACCACAGGTAGCTCCTGGGTGGTGGTTCAGTGGGGCTAAGGCAGGCTCACACTTGCCTTGGTCTTGGCCCACTCCCTAAAGCAGCCAGTAAACTCCCTCCCAAGTCCTGTTGTGCTCCCTGCCCTGCTCTGTGGAGAAAGGATACAGAGTGGGAGGGGGCACCCTGACATCAGCACTCCTCCTTTCCTTTCCCTGCCTGGCACAGAAAGCAGGAGGCTCCCCAAGGGGGAAGGGCAACTCCAAGGCAAAGGGCAGGAGATGCGCAGCAGTGGGTGGAGGGCAGCAAAATGCTGCACTTGATAGCATCTTGGCCAAACCAGTCAGGATCAACTGTCAGAGGCTCCAAGATCTACCAGTCGATCCCGATCGACTGGTTGGTGACCACTGCTGTAGGCTCAAAAACAAAGGAAGATAGTCCATGGGGTTACAACCTTCCTGCGCAATGACTTCTTTCTTTCTTTTTTTGCTGCACTTTCAATGATTCTAAAACAAAAGGAGCACAAGCCAAACCAAACCAAATCAAACTAAACAAAAATGGGATTTGGGAGACTTCTTGGAGAGAGGGATCCAACCCGGAACTGACCTTTTCCTCATTTCAGGAAGCTCGAAGCAGAAGGTTTAAGTCTGAAAGTGAACTTTCAAAACTCAAAAATGTTGGACTTTTAACTCTGATTTGTAGCTCAGTCTTGCAGACGTCACAAGTTTAGAGAGCTCTGGAGAAGTATCTGAACTCTTAGAGTACATCTACACTGCAACACTATTTCAAAATAACTAGCGCCATTCCGGAATAACTTAGTCCGTGTGTACACAGCAGGCATTTATTTTGAAATAGGGTCAAAATACTGTCAAGCTGGAGGACTTCTTACTCCGATTCCTGTAACCCTCATTGTACGAGGAGTAAGGGAAGTTGGAGGAAGAGTGCTCTGTTTCGAAATAAGTGCTGTGTAGACACTCCCTATTTCTAAATAAGCTATTTCAAAATAAGATACACAATTGACGTAGCTCAATTTATGTAGCTTATTTAGAGTTAAGCCCTGCAGTGTAGTCACACCTGTACGGAGCTTGTCCGTAAAATACCCAACTTGTAAACCTGTTGAGGTTTGCCCTTCTTGCTTTCCTTGCACATGTGAGAGCCATGTTCCCTGACAGTAGAAGTAACCACACTATCTATGTGTTGACACTGATATTCCTCATTTCAAGAGCTCCCCATATTTTGATCTGCACATTTTCATTAACGAGCTCTTGCTGCTTTCCCGGGATGCTTCCTCTCAGCTAATTTGATTCCAAATAGGCAATTTCAACCAGAGAAGAAAAGTCTCTTTCTCTCCTGATAACACTCCCAAATGCCCTGGTCTGGACCCAGGAAGCTGAGCATTAGCATGCTCAGACTTTAAACCAAAAACAAACAACCCTGAAATGTTCTCCCACAATGGGCAGCATGAAACTTGTTTGGATGCTAATTGGCAACATCTTGAAAATCTTTAGCAATTAAAGTGGGAACTTACAAACCATGAAATGATTCAACTATGACCCTTGGGCTTCTGTTTTAATTCCTTTTTCTTACAATCTCGGTAAATCAATAAAAAAAATAACAAGAAAGTGGAACCTTGCTGCCTGGAAGTCCCTACGATGGACTCCAGATCACTTCAGTGGGCTTACGATCAGGCTCCGTATGAACACAGTAAACGTGGCTATGTCTACACGAGAGCCTTTTCTGCAAAAACATATGCAAATGTTCCGAAAAAAATGTGGAAGAACGGCTCTTGCGCAAGAGGGGTTTTTTGCGCAAAAAGGAACTGTGTAGATGGCTCCTTTTTGTGGAAAAGCCTCTTGCGCAAAAACGGAGCCTAATTAATTATGCAAATGAGGCATGGCGATAGTCCACACTTTGCCTCATTCGCATATTTCTTGCACAAAATGGGTGCAGACATAGCCTGTGTCTGTGTTGGCTTTGCTATAAAATCTGACCAGACGTCCGGCAGGAACCCATTTCGATACACAAAGAACCCGAGCCTGCTTGATGAAAGAAACCTTTGGCGAGGTTTGAAGAGGCCTGGTGTGCCCTTCTTGGCACTTTTCCTCTCCCCTTTTGCCCATCTGATTAGGATGGCAAAGTCAAATACCATCAGAAGCTGTTCCTTAGGGTGCGTCTATACTAGCCCCCTAGATCGATCTAGGGAAGCTAATGAGAGCGACCGGAATTGCAAATCAAGCCCGGGATTTAAATATCCCACGCTTGATTTGCATGTTCCTGGCCGATCGCCATTTTAGAAATTGACTAGCCCGAAGTAACTGCCCGCATCTACACGCGGCAGTGAAACAGGATTCCGATTTAAAGCCCTAACTCAAATTAGCCGTTATTCCTCCTGCGATGAGGTTTACCAGCTAATTCGATTTAGAGGCTTTAAGTCGGAATCCCGTTTCACTGCCGTGTGTAGATGCGGGCAGTTACTTCGGGCTAGTCAATTTCTAAAATGGCGACCGGACAGGAACATGCAAATCAAGCGTGGGATATTTAAATCCTGGGCTTGATTTACAATTCCGGTCGCTCTCATTAGCTTCCCTAGATCGATCTAGGGGCTAGTATAGACGCACCCTAAGGAACAGCTTCTGATGGTATTTGACTTTGCCATCCTAATCAGACAGGCAAAAGGGGAGAGGAAAAGTGCCAAGAAGGGCACACCAGGCCTCTTCAAACCTCACCAAAGGTTTCTTTCATCAAGCAGGCTCGGGTTCTTTGTGTATCGAAATGGGTTCCTGCCGGACGTCTGGTCAGATTTTATAGCAAAGCCAACACAGACACAGGCTATGTCTGCACCCATTTTGTGCAAGAAATATGCGAATGAGGCAAAGTGTGGACTATCGCCATGCCTCATTTGCATAATTAATTAGGCTCCGTTTTTGGAAGTGGGTTACAGTCTCACCCTCCTCTGCACAGGGAGATGGTGGCAAAGCAGAGCCAGCTGTAGGAATGTGGGGGGCTCCTATGCCCGGTCCCTCAGTAATCTCCCACCTACCCCCATTGCATCTCTCAGGGAAGGGCTGCAATATGGTCAGAGTAGGGGGTGGGAAGAGGCGGGGAAGGGGTGGATTGGGGATAGGGAGGGGCCAGAAGAGGCAGATGGGGGCAGTGCTTGGGGCAGGAAGGGGCAGTGCCAGCCCCCCCGCCCCGGGGCAGCTCTGTGTATTTCTGTCCAAACCAGAGTAGGAAGCACTACACTCTCATGAGAGTCTCTCTCCCCTGTAGCACAGTCAACAGATTCTGAGAAACGTGTCCGCACTTTTGTGCACATTTGCAAACAGAACTTGAAATCTGAAACTTCCTTGCTGAAAACCGAGCTTCCTTACCTCAGGGGCAAGGCAAGTGTTCTACGACTGGCCATAGAGGGATTTGATTTCTATTACGATTTTGACAGATAACGTTTATTTTTGAAAGTGGGAGGTATTTTTATGTCTATCCATTTAAATTTCCACAGTCGTCCAACATAGGGGGGCTTAAGCAATAGGATTTAAGCATTTTTATTTTTATCTAGTTTAAAAATAGTTGTGGGAGATGCGAGCGGGGTGTCAGACAATAATTCTTGACTAACAGCCGACATCCAGGTTGCTCTCTGGATAAGGTCATATCATTCATCAAATACCACAGGATAACACTGAATGCGTTTATGCAGCTGGGTCAGCTTTAATGACCAGCTGTTTCTTTTCATTCTGGAGGGGAGGGTCACACACAGGGGCTAATGTCTGTCTGAACCCAGCCTTCTTAAAAAAAGAATTAAGTGAATGTCATGCGATGAATATAAAAATAAACAGCTCACACTTCTCCAGTCTGACCATTCTGTTTGGTTTCTCTGCAAGCACTATTTGAAACCATGGGAGGGGTGGATGGGCACAGCCCTCCCACTTCTCAAAGCCCCTTCTCCAGCCTTGCGGGAGGGCTGGATTAAAGGGGGGGAGACTAGCCAGGCAGCTGCCCAGGGCGCCAATCTATGAGGGGGGGCGCCTGATGGCAGCTGTAAGGGGCCCCGGGCTCCCAGCCATGCGGCACCTCTTAGAGCTGCAATCGGGCACCGCACGCCTGGGGCCGGGGGCTGCGCGGCACCCCTTAGAGCTGCGAAGCATGGCAGGGGGAGGAGCTGCGCATGCGCCGTGCGCTCAGGGGCGGGGCTGTGCATGCGTCCTGCGCCTGCTGCCTGGGGCGCAGGAATGGCTCCAGCCGGCCCTGCTTGCGCGAGGGGTGACTAGACCCAGGCCCAACTAATTTTGGGGGACAAATGATGACAAAAAGGTCGGGCAAGTCAGTCTGGGAAAAGGGGATTGCTTCAGTAACAAGATGCGATGTGTCTCATGGTTAGGGGCAGGGTATTCTGGAGACATGGGTTAAATTCCTGACTCTGGACCAGACATTTTGGCCACCAGTTAATCTAAACCTGTGCCTCAGTGCTCCATCTGTAAATGGAGATGGTACTTTATTTGCTCACCCAGGTGTTGTGAGGTCAGAATTGGAAGGTGTATGATGAAGTCCAGGTTAGCGGGTAGGTCTGTTCTTGAGTCCCAGGATGTCTGATTCACTTTCTGCTAATATAGTCCCTTCCCTTTATTCTTAGGATATCTCCTGGCCACTTAAAAAAAAAAGAATTCTGAGATTACTTCTCCTTTAGTTTACTGAGCATCTTAACCCATTGCCAGATTCGCTGAGAATAAACACCCTCCACTTAAAACCCCGTAGCTGATTTACGGTAAAGATTCCTCTTGTATGGTAAAGTTGGAAAACACACAGTGATTTGTTTTTCTGCAGGTTTTTGAACCGATCCAAGGATGGAATCCCCATCAAGTAGCAGAAATGTGCATTCTCCTCTACCTTTTTAAATCTTCTGTCATCTTGGAAATCCTCAAGGTTGGCTAACAGGTTCCCTGCTGCTGGGGGTGGAAATGGTTGGAAGCAATTGTGAACACTCGGCTCTGTTGGGAGTTATTTGATTTGCTGGAGGGGCTAAAGTTTCTCCTGGATGATTTATAATGCAAAGGCTTTGCCACTCTGAGGTCCACAAATCCCAGTGGCTCAGCAATTTCTTCTCTGAGGGGGGATATGACAGAGGCCTATAAAATTATGACCAGTGTGGAGAAAGTGAATAAGAAAAAGTTATTTACTTGTTCACATAACATAAGAAGTAGGGGTCACCAAGTGAAATGAATAGGTAGCAGGTTTAAAACAAACAAAAGGAAAATTTTCTTCACACAGTGCACAGTGAACCTGTGGAACTCCTTGCTGGAGGATGATGTGAAGACCAGGACTTCAGCAGCATTAAAAATGAGCTAGATAAATTCATGGAGGTTAGATCCATCAATACTTATTAGTCAGGGCAGATAGGAATGGTGTCCCTATCCTCTGTTTGTCAGAGGCTGGAAATGGGTGACAAGGGATGATGGCTTATTTGACGAGTCCCCGTTCTATTCACTCCATCTGGGGCATCTGGCATTGGCCACTGTTGGCAGACAGGATACTGGGCTAGATGGACCTTTGGAGTGACCCAGTATGGCCATTCTTATGTTCTCTGTGCAATGGTGAAATGGATGGGTAGCCATTCTTTGATACGATAGCATAGTTCTGGGATAGATTTAGTTTCTCCACA